TCTCTGTATCTTGTCTTATGTTCCTCATCAATATCTCTAATGTTAAAATAAATAATAATGGGGAAAGGTGACAACCTAGCCTTGTTACTTTTTGTATACTAAAACTTTCTGTTACATGTCCATTAACCAATACTCTTGTGTTCTGTTGAGTGTAAATTGCTTTAATCATATTTATTTATTTATTTATTTATTTATTTATTTATTTATTTATTTATTTATTATTTAAATTTCTATACCGCCCTTCTCCAAAATAGGACTCAGGGCGGTGAACAGCCAAAGTAAAAAACAATACATACAAAATTTAAAAGCAGTTTAAAATAATTAAATATTTTGGCCGTAAATTAAAACAACCCAATTTAAAATCAATTTAAAATTAACTCAAGCCAGCCCAGCTAGTTGAAATAAATGGGTTTTCAGGGCTGGACGAAAAATCCGGAGGTCTGTTATTGTACGTATCTCTGGGGGGAGGTTGTTCCAGAGGGTGGGCGCCAAGGGTGGGCACAGAGAAGGCTCTCCCCCTGGGAGTCGTCAGCCAACATTGTCTGGCGGACGGCACCCTGAGGAGGCCCACTCTGTGCGAGCGTACTGGCCGGTGGGAAGCTATTGGTGGCAGAAGGCGGTCTCGTAAGTACCCCGGCCCTAAGCCATGGAGCGCTTTAAAGGTGGTCACCAACACCTTGAAGCGCACCCGGAAGACCACCAGGAGCCAGTGCAGCTCGCGCAGGAGGGGTGTTACATGGGAGCGCCTCGTCGCCCCCATAATCGCGCGGCCACGTTCTGGACCAGCTGGAGCCTCCGGGTGCACCCCAGGGGGAGCCCCATGTAGAGAGCGTTGCAGTAGTCCAGGCGGGAAGTGACGAGTGCCTGAGTGACTGTGCGTAGGGAGTCCTGATCTAGAAAGGGGTGTAACTGGCGTATCAGGCGGACCTGATTAAAAGCCCCCCTGGCCACGGCCGTCAAATGATCTTCTAATGACAGCCGTGCGTCCAGGAGGACGCCCAAGTTACGAGCCCTCTCCGTGGGGGCGAGTGATTCGCCCCCAATAGCCAGTGATGGCATCAGCTGGCTATATCGGGATGCCGGAAGCCACAGCCACTCGGTCTTGGAGGGGTTGAGTCGGAGCCTGTTTCTCCCCATCCAGGCCCGCACGGCCTCCAGGCACTGGGACATCACTTCAAGGGCATCGTTGGGGTGGCCTGGGGTGGAAATATACAGCTGGGTGTCATCAGCGTACTGATGGAACTCCACCCCAAAGCCACGGATGATCTCACCCAGCGGCTTTACATAAATGTTGAACAGAAGGGGCGAGAGGACCGACCCTTGTGGCACCCCACAAGCAAGGTGCCTCGGGGTCGACCGCTGCTCCCCTGTCAACACAGATTGCGACCGGTCAGAGAGGTAGGAGGAGAACCACTGCAGAACGGTGCCCCCCACCCCCAACCCCGCCAACCGGTGCAACATGATACCATGGTCGATGGTATCAAAAGCCACTGAGAGGTCTAATAGGACCAGGATAGAGGTGCAAACCCTATCCCGAGCCCTCCAGAGATCATCCACCAACACGACCAATGCCGTTTCCGTGCTGTGCCCAGGCCGGAAGCCGGACTGGAGCGGGTCTAGATAGACAGCTTAATCCAGGTACCGGGGAACCTGTTGCGCCACCACACTCTCAACAACCTTCGCAACAAAGCGAAGGTTGGAGACTGGACGATAGTTAGCCAAAACAGCCGGATCCAGAGAGGGCTTCTTGAGGAGGGGCCTCACAACTGCTTCTTTCAAAGCGGCCGGCAGGACCCCCTCACTCAAAGAAGCGTTAACAATCTTCTGGAGCCAGCCTCGTGTCACCTCCCGGGAAGCCAGTACCAACCAGGAGGGGCACGGGTCCAATAAACATGTGGTTGCGTTCAGCCGTCCCAGGACCCTGTCCATGTCCTCGGGAGCCACAGGATCGAACTCCCCCCAGGTAACACTTTCCTAAATTTTCCACCAAATTCCATAAAATTTAATTGTAGCAACATAAATTGCCAATTTATATTGTCGAACGCTTTCTGCGTGTCCAGGAATATTAACGCTAGTTGTTTTTCATAATGTATTTCTTAACATTCTAGTACATCCATGATTATTCTAACATTATTTTTGATTTGTCTTTTTTGGTAAAAATCCATTTTGATCTGGATGAATGAATTCATTTAAAAAGTTTTTTAATCTTTCCACAATTATTGATGAGAAGATTTTATAGTCTGCGTTTAGTAACGAAATCGGTCTATAGTTTTTAATTTGAGTTATATCCGAATCTTCTTTGGGGATGAAGGTAATATAGGCATCTTTCCATATGTTCGGAATTTTAGCTTCCGTTAACACTTCATTGTATACTTCTAGCATTGACAGACTCAAGGTGTCTCCTAATTCTTTATATATTTCTACTGGTAGACCATCTGGTCCCAGGGTTTTATTGGTTTTTTTGCTTTTTAATTGCGTTCATTAACTCTGCCATTGTTATTCTTTCCTCCAGCCTATTCTTAACCATTTCTGAGATTTTAGGTAAATTGGCTTTCTCCAGATATTGTATTAATCTCTCCTCTTCTATTTTATCAGCTTCATATAATTTCTCATAAAATCATGAACTATATCTCTTTTCTTTTCAAGTTGTAGAGAGTGTTACAATAGTCCAGGCGGGAAGTGACGAGGGCATGAGTGACCATGTGTAAGGAGTCCCAATCTAGAAAGGGACGCAACTGGCGGATCAGGCGAACCTGATGAGAAGTCCTCCTGGTCACGGCCATCAAATGCTCTTCTAAAGATAGCCATGAGTCCAGGAGGACACCCAAGTTGCGAGCCCTCTCCGTGGGGACCAATGACTAGCCCCCAATAGTCAGTGATGGCACCAACTGACTATATCGGGACGCTGGAAACCATAGCCACTCGGTCTTGGATGGGTTGAGCCTGAGCCTGTTTCTCCCCATCCAGATCCGCACAGCCTCCAGGCACCAAGACATCACTTCAAGGGTATCATTGGGGTGGTCGGGGGGGGGGGGAGAAATGTACAGCTGAGTGTCATCAGCGTACTGATGGTACTTCACCCCGAAACCATGGATGATCTCACCCAGCGGCTTTACATAAATGTTGAACAGAAGGGGTGAGAGGACCGACCCCTGTGGCACCCCACATATGAGGCGCCTCGGGGTCAACCTCTGCCTCCTTGCCAACACAGACTGCAACCGGTCGGAGAGAAAGGAGGAGAACCACCGCAGCACAGTGCCCTCCACCCCCAGCTCTTCCAACCGATGCAGCATGATACCATGGTCGATGGTCTCAAAAGCCGCTGAGAGATCTAACAGGACCAGGAAAGAAGAGCAACCCCTGTCTCGAGCCCTCCAGAGATCATCAACCAACACGACCAATGCCGTTTCCGTGCTGTACCCAGGCCTGAAACCCAACTGGAACGGATCCAGATAAAGGTTGAGAAGAGTTAGCTTACTATGGCTTCACATGAAGGAGTTGACTCTGAAAATTTTGAGCCCAGTGTTTCTCAACCTCAGCAATTCTGGGAGTTGAAGTGGCCTTCAACTCGCAGAATTCCCCAGTCAAAGGGCTCTAGCTAGCCAATCAATTTTCTCCTTACCTAGAAACCTCCACATACTCTGAGAAGGAGTGTTCTTTGCCCATTATATATTATATTTTCACATATTGAGAGTTTTAACTTTAAAAACCTTTCTGGATCGGGACTCCCTATGCATGGTCACTCAAGCACTCGTCACTTCCCGCCTGGACTACTGCAATGCTCTCTACATGGGGCTCCCCTTGGGGTGAACCCGGAGGCTGCAGTTTGTCCAGAATGCGGCCACGCGGGGGATTATGGGAGCGACGGGGCGCTCACATATGACACCTCTCCTGCATGAGCTGCACTGGCTTCCTGTGGTCTTCCGGGTGCGCTTCAAGGTGTTGGTGACCACCTTTAAAGCGCTCCATGGCTTAGGGCCGGGTTATCTGCGAGACTGCCTTCTGCCACCAATAGCCTCCCACCGACTGGTTTGCTCGCACAGAGAGGGCCTCCTCAGGGTGCCGTCGGCCAGACAGTGTCGGCTGGCAACCCCCAGGGGGAGAGCCTTCTCTGTGGCAGCACCCGCCCTCTGGAATGACCTACCCCCTGAGATATGCACGATATCAGACCTCCGGACTTTTCGTCGGACCCTGAAAACACACCTATTCCATCTAGCTGGGCTGGCTTGATCCCATCCTCTCAGTTTTAATTGAATTTGGTTTTAATTGGGTTGTTTTTAATATCTTGGGCCAAAATTATTTAATTATTTTTTAAATTGTTTTTAAATTTTATATGCAATGTTTTATCTTGGCTGTACACCGCCCTGAGTCCCGCAGGAGAAGGGCGGTATAGAAATAAAATAATAATAATAATAAGATAAGCAGCAAGAAAAAATCACAAAGTACCGGGACTTACAAATTGAAGTTGAGTGACTGTGGAAAAAGAAATCGTGTGTTGTCCCGATTGTAATTGGAGCCCTCGGAGCAATACCCAAAGGGCTACCCCGCTATTTAGAAATTCTAAATTTGCTGGACTTGAACATTTTGACTCTACAAAAAAACACCTTACTCGGAACAGCTTACATTCTCCGACGATACCTTAACAGTTCCTAGGTCCTTGGTTAGGACTCGAGCTGCTGAGCTATTAACCAGCCTCAAAGGCTGTGAATCTCACTAAAGATTAACCAATAAATAATAATAATAATAATAATAATAATAATAATAATAATAATAATAATAATAATAAACAATGGTTAACAATCTGCCTTTCACTGTACCAGTCATACAGCAGTCATAATTGAAATATTTTAATGACAGGATACATGATATGAAATAAATATGAAATGGAGGATAAAAGTGAACCTAAATATACAGTTTATACAGTGAGATAAATACAATGTCTTGTCTTTGTTTAGCTGACAAGAGGCATTGGTTTAAGATCTGAAAAAGAAATATTATAATCAAATATGCTTACTTCCAAATAACATATCAATGTTTTCAAGTAGGCCAGGCCACAAAACTGATGCTGCAGGGTTTATTGTTTTATTGTTATATTTACAGACATTTGATAGCTACACCAAAACATTTACTTTCCTCATTTTAAGAGCAGTGAGGTCAAGCTGGGGCTACTCTTTTTCTTATACTCTCTTCCTTCTCATATGTGAGCAACAGTTTATCTCTCTTTCTTCTCAAAGCCAGTGCTAAATTATTCAAATCAATCGATAGTGGTAATTGTTAATTCTTCATTTTTAGGTGCTCCTTTGTGTTGAGTTCTGGTCTCAGTATAATTATGTAGCATTTAGGAAAAAAGATAGATCCCAATATTCCTATACCGGAAGCCAAGATGGAGAAGATCTCCACAGCTACCATGTATTTTCCTTTGGTGCTCAAATAAGTTGGGACAAAAGTCACCCATACACTACAAAACACCAGCATGCTAAAAGCAATAAATTTGGCTTCATTAAAAGAGTCTGGCAGTTTTCGAGCAAAGAAAGCCACAACGTAGCTGATGAGAGCAAGAAATCCCATATATCCTAAAATATAATAGAACATGTTCCCTGTTCCTTCATTGCATTCAACTACAATCTCTTCTGGAAGAGAATGCATGTCCAAATTTGGGAAAGGAGGGCCAGTGCACAGCCACAATATGCAAATACTTGCTTGAATGCAGGAACAACAGAGAATCAGAGAGTATGAAAATCTTTGTCCCACCCATTTTCTCATTTTTGATCCTGGCTTAGTAGCCATAAAAGCTAAAACCACTGTGATGGTTTTGGCCAAAACTGAAGAAACTGCAACTGAGAAGATGATCCCAAAAGCAATTTGACGAAGAAGACAGGTCAACAATTGGGGCTGACCAATGAACAGCAAGGAACAGAGGAAGCAGAGGAAGAGGGAGACAAGGAGAAGATAAGTGAGATTCCGGTTGTTAGCTTTGACAATGGGAGTATTCTGATGTTTTATGAAAATTCCAAGTATCACTACTGTGGTCACAGAAAATGATAGACCCAGAACTGTCGAAGTGATGCCCAAAGTTTCATTATAAGACAAGAAATTTAGATCCTTGGGAATGCACGTATTTTTTTCCTTGTTTGGATATTGTTCTTCTGGACAGTCTAAGCAGTCATCCATATCTGTGAAAATATGTATTTCAGAATTCATAGCAGTATTTCAAATTTGCATACTTTTGTTTACTGACAAGTATTTATTAATCGAAAACATTGTATGTCATAAAACATCAGTGGACTACTATGGTTTGTGGAATTGAAATGTGCAATAATTCTCATCATTCATTGCCTTAAGTCCTCCAAGGTAGACATGCTGGCAGATATAACCCAGCAACATTAACACTTATTCACATCTCTGTTAAATATACCTTTGTTAAATCTTGCTTTTGGAGAACTGAACTAGAATGGAACTCTCATGAATAATGAGGATGACCTGATGAGTCCTGGTGGTGCAGTGGTTAGAATGCAGTGCTGCAGACTACTTCTGTTGACTGCCGGCTACCTTCAATTTGGCAGTTCGAATCTCACCAGGCTCATCCTTCCATCCTTCTGAGGTTGGTAAAATGAGGATCCAGATTGATGGGGGGCAATAGGCTGATTCTGTAAAACACTTAGAGAAGGCTGCAAAGCACTGTGAAGTGGTATATAAGTTTAAATGCTATTGCTATGTGTGTGATATCTCTGTGTGCCTTTATGGATACATACAGTTACACATACATAAATATAACAATATTTCCTACCTCTTTTATTTGAAAATTTTCTTGATGGACAAGTATTACAATCATAGCAACAAAATGGCTTTCCTTCCTTCCTTTTCTTTCTGGAACCTGGTGGGCAATGATCATTGCACAGAGCAAGAGGTATAGTCTATTCATTAATGAGAGAGAGAATTACATTTTATTTCCTTGAATCCAACCATTTTCAGAAATCAGTACATGCATTATATACTTCTGAAAAATATTAGTTTTGTGTGTGTGTGGGTTTGTGCAGATATGTACACATATAAGAATCAACTGATCCAAAATAGTATGTTTATCCTCAGTATCCTCAGTCCCGGAGGATAAGGCCGCCGCCTTATCCTCAGGGATAGGGCAACAATGACTGACGATTCCCACCTCCGGTGACCCCAATGGACTCAGGAACCCGCTGTGGTGAGAGGACGTTGAGGATTAACATCTCCTATCATTCCTGAGTGTCGTGGGAGGACGCACAGGAATGGAGCTTCCTGTCTCCAGGGATGGACCAGCTTGATATACCCCAATCACCATGGATGGTCCCCTGGGCCTCAATGTTCAGGGATGGTGTTACGAACATATGCAAGAACGGATTTGGTTGCTCTGAGGGATGCCCCCCTATCCTGGGAGTGGCCTGCCGGCCTGGCAAAGATCTACCTTAATGACAGGTCCTGGGATCCCAAGAGGTGGCATAAGGATTTTAAGGGTTTTAGTAAGGGGGCGTTACATTGGTTTTTAACTAGATTTTTAAGGGGATTGGGGAGGGGGGTGAGTTTTGATATCCGGCAGGTGGTTGGGGGGGCGCCATACAAATGGCAGTCCAGGTTATGGGGACCGGGCAGTGGTTTTGGTGCGGTGTCGGGACATCCAGGCACCCCAAAGGTGAGGGTGGGATCTCTGATTCCGGTTGCAATTGGGAAGGGCTGCAGGTGGAGGAACGGAGGGCCGTATTGGATTTCGGGAGCCCGCCCCTGCTACCTTCGAGCGGTGGCGTGCTCCAATCCTCCTGGTTCTCTCTGACCTCCTGGGGGTTTGAGAGACAGGATTACTGGGCTCAGGCTGGTTTATTTTAATGCCAGTTCTGTGGTCAACAAAGCTCTCCTCATTTGTGATTTGATTGAGGAGGAAAACACAGACCTGGCTTGCATTACGGAAACCTGGTTGGGCTCAGAGGAGGGGGGGTGTTCCTCTGACTGAACTTTGCCCACCAGGGTTCCAGGTGCAGCAACAGCCAAGGGCCCAGGGTAGGATGGGGGGGTGGCGGTGGTTATTAGGGAGGTCCTTAGTCCGCGGTAGGTCACTGCTCCTAAAATAGACGGGTGTGAGGCCCTCCTCATGAGGTGGGGCCCGTATGGCAGTTGGGCTTGTTGATTGCATACCTGTCTCCCAGCTGCGTATCAACAGTCCTGCCCAGGCTACTGGACACCCTATCGAGGCTCCACCCTATCGGTGGAGTTTCCCAGACTTATTGTTCTGGGGGACTTCAATCTGCAGTCCCTGGGTGGGGCGTTGGGGGTGGCTCGGGAGTTCATGGCTTCCAAGGCAGCTATGGACCTGACTCAGATTATTCAGGGCCCGACACATGAGGGGGGGCCACACGCCCGATCTTGTTTTTGTCTTGGAGCAGTGGCAGGTGGAGTTCGGTGGGGGATTGTCCTCCATTTATCCCCTGACATAGACCGACCACTATCTCCTTCGGCTAGGCTTCCATTATGCCACCCCTCCTTGCTGGGATGCAGAACTGACCACCTGGTTCTGCCCCAGGCGCCTGATGGACCCGGAGAGGTTCCAGACAGAGCTTGGGATGATCCCTCTCTCTCTCTCCCACACCCCGGCCATGACCCTGGTGGATACCTGGGATTAGGCTCTTTACCAGGTTGTTCCTTTGCGGCCTCTGACACATCGCAGACCCCGGTTGGCACCTTGGTTTACCGAGGAGCTCTGGGGGATGAAGCGACGTAGGCGAGGCCTAGAGAGCCGTTGGAGAGCCAGTCGTTCCAAATCTGACCAGTCCCAACTAAGGTTGGCCACACGTGCCTACCTTGTGGAGTTGGCGGTGGCAAAGCATCGCTACTTCACCAATGTCATCGCGTCCACAGAGAATTGCCCATGGTGCGTCAGCTCCCACTGGCCCTGGATGAAGCAGATTACCTTGACCCGTACCAATCGGCTTTCAAGCCTGGGTACAGCATGGAGACGGCATTGGTTGTGCTGGTGGATGATCTCTGGAGGGCTCGGGACAGAGGTTACTCCTCTGTTCTGGTCCTATTGGATCTTTTGGCGGCTTTCGATACTGTCGACCATGGTATCTTGCTGCGTCGCCTTGAGGGGCTGGGAGTGGGAGGCACCGTTTTATGGTGGTTCTCCTCCTACCTCTTGGGTCGAACGCAAGCGGTGTTGGCAGGGGGGGCAGAGATCGAGCTTGAGGCCCCTAAGTTGTGGGGTGGCCCAGGGGTCGGTTCTCTTGCCCCTTCTGTTCAACATTTATATGAAACCGCTGGTTTTGGGGTGAGGTACCATCAGTACGCTGATTATACTCAGCTTTTTATATCCACCCTGAACCAACCCAGTGATGCCCTCAACATGATGGCCTGGTGCCTGGAAGCGGTACAGGTCTGGATGGGAAGGAACAGACTTCGACTCAACCCTGCCAAGACCGAGTGGCTGTGGGTACCGGCATCTCGGTTCATAGGAGAGGTTCCATCGTTGGCTATAGGGGGTGAAGTTTTACCCCCTGTAGACAGGGCATGCAACTTGAGTGTCCTCCTGGATTCACGGTTGAGTCTAGAAGATCATATAATGACCGTGACCTGGGGGGCATATGCCCAGATTCGTCTGGTGCACCACTTGTGTCCCTACTTGGACCGAGATGTCCTACGCACAGTTACTCATGCACTAGTCACCTCCCATATTGACTACTATAACGCTCTCTACATGGGGCTGCCCTTGAGGACCACTCAGAGGCTTCAGCTGGTGCAAAATGCAGCCACGCGGGTTGTGATGGGGGAATCCCGATACTCCCATGTTACACCTCTCCTGCGCAACTTGCATTGGTTGCCGGTTGCCCTCTGGGTGAGATTCAAGGTGCTGGTGATGACCTATAAAGCCCTACATGGCTTAGGCCCAGGATATTTGGCGGACCACCTGCAGCCAGCAATGACATCCCATCGCCTGGTTCGTGCCCATAGAGAGGGCCTAACACAGAGCCTTGGGGTACTCCACTGCATATTTCCCTCCATGTAGATGCAGTTCCATTGAGGACTACACATTGAGTGTGGTTTGTCAGCAAAGTTACGAATTCATCTTGTTGTGATGCTATCTAACCCACATTTTTCAACTTTATCTAGTAGTAGGTTATGGTTTACTTTATCAAATGCCTTACTGAAGTCCAAGTAAATTATATCAATAGTATTCCTCTGGTCCACTAATTTAATGAATAACAATAACAACAACTACAACAACAACAACAACAACAACAACAACAACAATGATTAATGTCTTGTGGTTATTCTGAGTTGTTTGTATTTGACTTCAGGGCTGCTCAATGGATAGAATCAATATATACATTATATTATTACTGAAAGTCAGGGACCACTTCAGTTATAGGGACCTATATGAAATCTAAATCCCTCCACAACAATTAGTGTTCATTGGTCGGATGCTCTTTCTGATGCCACATGGTGTTTGCAGCAGATATTTTTTTCTTTGCGCCCTGAAAGAAATATATTTGCTGCTACCTGGGATTGCACTCTCAACCTTGTAGGAAATCTACAATAATCCCCCAAAAACGAATTATATAAAGGGGATGGAGAAAACAACTATCATCCTGTACCCTGGGGCTAATGTGACTTGAAAGTTTAGCATGGGTGAGGTGATAAATGCTAGACAGACAATACTCAATAATAAAAAGGCACCTCCTCAATCAAAGGTATTAAAGATTAGCAGTAGAACCTTCTTGGAGGACCTGAGCATTTTCTCACTTGAAACTTCTCCATTTCCTTATGGAAAAAGAGAATGGAAGCCATCAATTTCTTTCACTCCTCCTTCCCCTTGCAAACTAGCTTTGCAAAAAATTTCACAAACAGGATCAAAAATGTCAAGTTTGTATTCTTCCTGACAATTATCATAACAATACTGGCAATCATTAATTGCTGAAAAGAAGGCCATCTATTTTGATTTTCAAACTGGAAACTTCATTTTAGTCCTACCTGGTTAAAATGGGCTGGCCATGTGATTTTTCTTTCATTGATGGAGAACCTTCTGCCTGATGGGGCTTGAGGATCCATTTGTCCCACTTTCACTTTCACGAAGGATTTGTTAGGGAAAGTAACCCAGTTGATGATGTCAAATCCATCTAGCAATTCACCCTTCTTGTCAAAAGACACCTTGTCTCCGGCACTGTTGTTAAAGGAGACTTGACTTAGGAAATGATAAAGCTGGAATAAATGACGTTTTCGCAAGTGTTACCAAAGTGGTGGAAAAAGTGAAAAATGTTTGACTTGGAAAAAAGTTTTGATATTCTCTGAAGCTACTTAATTATTTTATCACTCCGTTATTGGGAGTCCCATTATTTCTTTCCCCAATCAAATATTTCACTTTAGCTCAGTTTGAAAAGGATACGAAGAACTAGCAGGCAATGTATTTCAAATAAACAGACTAAATTTTCTTTTAGCGTAGAAATATATACCTATGTCACTGATGGGAATCCAAGTATTTCAGAGCCAAGGTTTACTATTTGCCAGGGGAATAGTACTATTGATACTATCCACGGATGGGTTCTAAATTTTTTTACTACTGGTTCTGTGGGCGTGGCTTATTTTGTGGGCGTGGCTTGATGGTCATGTGACAATTCTTTAGGATTTAGCAGCGGTACTGGTCTACCAGGCTTTTAACTGCTTGCAGAGCTGTACTGGTCTATCCATTTATTTTTGGAGGCACCAGTCTACTCATTTGTTTTTGGAGGCACTGGTCTACCCATTTATTTTTGCATGGACTGGTCTACTCATTTGTTTTTGGAGGCACCGGTCTACCACCACACTGCCTTTTAACACTGATCAGCTGTAGGGCGGCCCTTTGAAGCCCAGCGGCAAGAGTTTAAACAGTTTTTTTCCTTCTAGCCGATCAGCTGGGACCCAAGAGGCAACAATAGATTGGTGGTGGGGCCAAATAAAAGGTAAGAATAGTGCGGGGGGGCAGAGTGGGGGGGGGGCGAATCGGTTCGGTGACATCATATTGTCACTGCTACCGGCTCGGTGGAACCGGCCCGAACCGGGAGGAACCCACCACTGATACTATCTTTACTACCACTATTTGTATTGAATTAAATTTATATGTTGTCTAATTTCCAATGACTCTGGGCAGTTTCAAAATGGTTATTAAGTACTGTAATTATGTATTTTTTTTCTCCTATAACTTATTGTGCAATTTTTATTATTTGCTTAAATTAGAATGTTCTGCAAAAATTTGGATAAAATCCTAAATTCTGGATTTGGTAGCCTCCTGCATCTGTAAGAATACATCTCTCATTTCTTTCAAAACTTACAAAAATGATAGTCTCAGAAAAACTTTAGACCTTTTATTGCCATTATGGAGTCTATTTACACGTATTTATCTCCATGGTTTGCAGGTAAACTTACAACCATTCATTTAGTGATCTTTAAAAGTTACATTGGCACTGAAAGAATAACTTACAACTAGACCTTGCACTTATAGCTATTGCTGCATCCTTACAGTCATGTGATCAAATTTGATTGGTATGTAGTTACAATACCATGTTTCCCTGAAAATAAGACCCTGTGTTATATTTTTTAGAACCCTGAAATAAGTGCTTGGCCTTATTGCCATGCGCTCAAAAGCCTGATTGGGCTTATTATCAGGGGAGGTCTTATTTTGGGGGAAACAGGTTAGTTGCAGTGTCCTGGGCTCTTGTGATCACCATTTGTGAACTTCCCATCCAGCTTTTGATAGCAAAGTCAATGGGAGAAGCTGGATTCACTTAATCACCATGTAATTCGCTCAACAACTACAATGACTCACTTAACAATCATGACAAAAAATGGGCAAGTCTCACTTAACAACTGATTTGCTTAGGCATGGAAATGTTGGTCCCAATTGTAATCATAAGTCAAGGACCACTCATATACCCACTGTCCTTCCTTCTGTGCATCTTCTCTGGGAATTCTTAGTAAGGCAGTATATACAGAATGAGAATCCTTCTTATATAAGTGAAGGCACTAATATTAACAATAACAATGATGCATTTTAAAAATCTGCCTTTTAGATGCAACATTACCTGAAAATACTGTGATTTAGAAGTCCTTGGGTGATCTCTATCCAACACTACTCTGTATTTCCTTCTGGATGAGTAAAAGGCATGCAAAGCATGTGCCACAGCATAGACAGCATTATAAACACTGTAGCTTTGACTGGTCATGCTCGTTTCAAAAAAAGAATGCGGAAGGCTTTCCAGTCTCTCATTGCCAGTACAGCTTCCTTTGTCTGTTGCAGAATCTGGAAACGAGCATTTAAATGCTTGTTCCCAGAAGACTCTGATAAAATGATCGGTCAGAGAATGGGGGTCCTGAAATAGAAGGAAATTCTGAAATGTTGACATCTCCGAGGTACGACTTGCAAAGGACAAGGCGCCTTGGAAGATCTGCATGTTTAAATTGTTTAAAAAGGGTTCTACTGAAAAATCCCAATGGGCTGTCATCACCCATACTTTCTGCACAGATAGCTTCATGTCTGATTCAGCAACGTTGAGCACTAGTTGCAAATCTAACATCATGTGAGCATCAGCACTTACAACACAGACATTGACTTTTGCGTTACTCAGCAACAGGGCCATTTCCCTGAACATGTCAATGAAATTACCAACCATGTGTAAAATATTGCTTTGAACTGGCATTCGTTCAGAGAAGGCAGTGCAGATTCCATTATCATTAAAGCTTTTCTCCAAGGTTTGCACAAACTTTTCTCCTTTATCATCATCCATGGCTATGATCCCAATCCATTTCCATTGAAAATGCAGTAATAGCTTGACTATTCCTGTATATTGATGCGCTTCATTAGGTACCATGCGGTATAAGAAAGAGGAGTGACTTATATCATTCACTGGTGGACTATATAAACAATAGGAGACCTAAAGGCCAACATAATTACATTCATAATCGGGAAATATAAAAATATCTGCAGGGTCAAACACAAAAACACAGTAGTTTTTATTTTATTTTCTAAAAAAAAATATTTAGTTAGTTTACAGCATACCCAAGGACTGCTCCAATCACAAACTGACTCTATGTAGCATTTAATTTTCTCCATCCTTAACATGAGATGAACCAAACCAAAATAAATAAATGAATAAATAAATAATAAAACACACTATTTGTTCCGTATTACAGATTCCATATCATCCTGACTTCTTTTATCTGCATTTATACATATTATTTCTTTTGTCATCCATTTTCCCATCTCTATTTATTATTATTTATTTATTAATTCAATTTGTATGCCGCCCCTCTCCGAAGACTCAGGGCAGCTCACAATGCATTTAAAATCATTATAAAAAACATTTAAAAATTAAAAAAATTAAAATCATTAAAACTCATTCACATTCATGGCCGGAACTCGCCGGATCGCAAGAGCGAGATCAACAGCGCCAGGCTTGCTGGAAAAGCCAGGTCTTCACTGCTTTTTGGAAGGCCAACAGGGTGGGGATGGTCCAGACCACAGGAGGTAACTGGTTCCAGAGAGCTGGGGAAGCCACAGAGAAGGCCCTCCCCCGCGGGCCCACCATCTGGCATTTAGATGACGGGACCCGGAGGAGACCACCTCTGTGGGATCTTACCGGTCATTGGGAGTTATGTGGTAGAAGGTGGTCTCGAAGGTACCCTGGCCCTGAGCCATGTAGGGCTTTAAAGATAATAACCAACACCTTGAATTGTGACCGGAGACCAATAGGGAGCCAGTGCAGTGGAGAATTGGTGTAATGTGGGTGCACCTAGGTGCACCCACGACAGCTCGCGCGGCTGCGTTCTGGACCAACTGTAGTCTCCAAACACTTTTCCCCATGTAGAGCGCGTTGCAATAATCTGAACGTGAGGTGACAAGGGCATGAGTGACCGTGAGGAAAGCCTCCCAATCCAAGTAGGGTCGCAATTGGTGCACCAGGTGAACGTGTGCAAAGGTTTCCCCTAGCCACAGCTATCAGATGTTGCTCTAATCTTAGCTGTGAGTCTAGGAGGACACCCAAATTGTGAACCCATTCTGAGGGGGACAATTTCTCCCCCCCAGAACCAAGGATGGACAATCAACATAGACTTTAGGAGGCTCTCGGTCTTATCTGGGTTAAGTCTGAGCCTGTTGACTATCATCCAGACCCTCACAGCCTCCAGGCACATCACATCCACCGCATCACTGAATTGACGCGGGGTAGAGATATACAGCTGGGTATCATCAGCATATTGCTGATATCTCACCCCGTATCGTCAGATGATCTCACCCAGAGGCTCTAGTTAACAATGCATGAAGTACAAATATTCCTCTACTTGTTCTAATTTTTCATGATTTATTTTTGATTCATTATTATTCCTTTTATTTCCCTGATTACAATCTAAGAGCAGTCAGTACCAACTAAATACTAACCAGAGGTGGGATTCAGCTGGTTCGCACAGGTTCACCTGAACTGATATCCAACTATTTCTGCAGTTCGGCGAATTGAGGAACACTGTAATAGATAATAAGTTCCTAAACAAATAGAGCTGTAATCCACCTTACCTGAGGAATCTTGTAGGTCCCTAAGATAGTAGCTATGTGGAGGGAAGTTTCTGAGTCAGTACCCCCAATGACAGCTGCTGGTATCTTCTTGCTGCATTTGTAGTTCAGAATAGTTGGCTTCTGATTAAAGAGCAAGTTCAGCGTGTTCTGATAAGTTATCTGGGCATCAAAGTGGCTATCATAGATATGAAATCCCACGTCTGATTGGGTAAGATCATGCTGTTTCCATTGATTTCATTCACTGCAAAAGCCAAGGCTAGGGTGTGCTGATATTTTTTCAGCATTACACTAAAGTAAAAGACACATCTTGAGTAAACCATGATGTTCAGTGTTGTGAACATTTGCATACTACTCCTGTAAGTGGTACCCTATATTTACTGGTGGGGAACTACTGGAGAATGAGAAACCTGACATTAGAATGAAGTTACCTTTAACTAGAGAACAGCTTGTTTGCTTGTAATGGATCTACCCTTCTCCAATATTTCAACTGTCCTAGTGTGTCCTTGGAAACAAATGCAATGTTTTACATTGCAACAGATATTGCACTAAATATCGCTTCATTAATTTTATAGTGAAACTATTCAATGATGTATTGTTTTTCTTCTGGACCAGACCAAATCACACGTAACCCAACATGCTAGTCACAAGACAATCACTTGCTTCTGGCCTCTCAAAAGGTCAGAGAAATATGAAGAAACTTTTCTCCAATGATTTTTGAGTCTCTGGATACAAATCTAGATACAAATAATGCTGTGCATATAATACCAAGGAATTAAGTAAAAGAAGATTGATCCAAGACTGAGGCAGGTTTTCCCACTTCACACAATCAAATGTAGCATGTCTTATTGACTGATTTGATCCTATCAGATGTTAAAGATCAGAATAAACTCAGAGCATACAAGGAAATCTGGCAAATATCATAGAATCATAGAGCTAGAAGAGAAGTTTAGATCATAATATCCAACTGCTTGCTCAGTGCTGCAGCTGTAAGTTTGAGCCAAATAGTTGGGTTAAACCTAAGAGATGTGAGATAGAAGTTGCAGAGATGAAAAATAACATGTTTGCCACATGTGTGTGTTTGGGTCTGATCACCATTTCAAAATCTCCTATTTTCTATTACCAGAAGACCAGAATGAATGGATGAAGGACTACTAATTATCTGATTTCTAGAATCTATGTCAAGTTGCTGAAAGCATATCAGTAGCACTGCCAGGAAATAGCCAAGTATTACAGAAATCAGTGAGGTTTTTCTTACATAGGTTCAAAATCACACTTGGATCTAGGGTGTGAGGTGAAATCTGCTCCTTCAGACAAGGAGAAAAACTGTGAAAGTATCCCACCAATTATCACATCACCTGGCTGAAAATATTGGTATTGCACTTTCAGAGACTCATAAATGGTACAAACTGCAGGAGATATCGCACAATCTGTTGGTTGCAGCAGCAGCAGCAAATATACAAGAAGTCTCAGGGACAAGAAGGACCCTCTCATGCAGCAGGCAAAATGATTGTCCCTTAATTTAAGATCTCCTACTCCTACTTTGATCATCATCATCCAGCTATTTAGTATGCCATGGTCTTCATGGTTCTGGATCCTACCACTAAATGCATACACACTGATCTGCTGAATCCATTGCTGGCTGGCTGGATAGATAGATACATGTATACGTACGTACATAGATACATAGATACATAGATACATACTGTAGATACATACATAAATACATACATACATACACTAACCCTCCCTTTGATCAGTTCAGGAGTTACAGTATATACCTGTATGCAATTAGAGTGGAAAAATATTTTTGTGCCTTGTGAGTAATGCTGAGTTCATAATTATCACCTTAGATAATCATCAGGTATGCATTTTCTAAAACACTGCAAAATTCCCAGTGGTTAAATCTCCTCCTTCTCTTCCTCCTCTGTCTCCATTGTTGGTTTGGGCCTAATAATGATTGTTTTGTACAGCATAAAGTACTGGAACTGCTGAACAAAAGGAGAGCTACATATTTGATTTATTACGCATATAATCTAATAAATATATATTAAATGTATTAATTAATTATATTTATTGGGAATATTTATTTAGGATACACGTTATAAATTATCCTTAGATCTAATTATTAGATTTGATTTACTAGGGAATGGATTTATTAAGGAGATGATTTAATAAATTGTTACATCTATTTTTTAAATTAGATTTCTTAGATTGGAGGGGGGGCTGAAGAACCAGTTCAGTGACGTCATATCGTCATTGCTACCGGCTCAGCAGAACGGAGCTGAACCGGGAGGAACCCACGACTGCTTTACTCTCAGAGAAAGGAATGTTATTGTAACTATATATCTCCCCTGCTCCATACAATCCCCACTTCCAGTTTCCCACAGTACTAAATGTGACAGGCCTGAGGATCCAATGCAAAAGATGGCTTCCAGGCCTGACATATGCTTTAAGTATTCTCTACATATTTTCCTCTTCCTTACATGAAAACTTTGTAAATACATAAAAATATATTTGCTGCAAATGTGAGTAAATGATAGGACTGATTTTGTAGCAACTGTTCATATTATTAAATAACTAAACTAAGAATAATTGCTAGAAACATCAATCCAACAAAATAGTACAATATTTGATTTAGAGAAAGTGCACAATAAACTAAATCAGCCTGAATTGTGGAAGATTCTGCTTGAATATGACATTGTAACTTGGCTGCTGAATGAAACTTGGCTGCAGATATGCTAAAACGTATCTCAGAATTTATTGGACATTTTGAGAACAGTTCAAAACTTAATAAGTAGTAACACACCTTTGGTTGCTTAATGTATTTATCAATAAATGTTACTAGCTTGCTGATGTAACTCACACGATCTACAAAGTCTTACATGGCATGGGAGCAGGATATTTGTAGGTCCAACTTCCTCCAATTGTCTCTGTCTGCTCCATCAGCTCCAGCAGGAGTAGCATACTCTAGGTACTGTTTATTAAGGAGTGCTATCTAATAGTACCCTAGTAGTATGCCTTTTATGTAACTGAACCTTTATGTAATTGCATCAACCTTTTCAAGTGAGCCAGGTCACAAATCTGATGGTGCAGGAATTCCAGGAATACTACTTTATTGTGATATGCTATAGAAACAGACAGTTGGAATCTAGTCCAAACAATCGACTTTCCCCATTTTAAGAGCATTGAGGTCAAGTTGGAGCTATTCTACATCTTTTCCTCACACATTCCACTTCCTCATGATTGATCAACATTTTATCTCTTCAACCTTCTTTTCAAGACCATGCTAAATTCTTCAAAATCAATGAAAATTAGTAATGTTTAGTTTTTTGTTTTTAGATGGTCCTTTGTGTTGAGTTCTGGTCTCATTACAATGATGTAGCATTTAGGGAGAAAGATAGATCCCAATATTCCTATACCGGAAGCCAAGATGGAGAAGATCTCCACAGCTACCATGTATTTTCCTTTGGTGCTCAGATACGTTGGGACAAAAGTCATCCATACACTACAAAATACCAGCATGCTAAAAGCAATAAATTTGGCTTCATTAAAAGAGTCTGGCAGTTTTCGAGCAAAGAAAGCCACAACGTAGCTGATGAGAGCAAGAAATCCCATATATCCTAAAATATAATAGAACATGTTCCCTGATCCTTCATTGCATTCAACTACAATCTCTTCTGGAAGAGAATGCATGTCCAAATTTGGGAAAGGAGGGCCAGTGCACAGCCACAATATGCAAATACTTGCTTGAATGCAGGAACAACAGAGAATCAGAGAGTATGAAAATCTTTGTCCCACCCATTTTCTCATTTTTGATCCTGGCTTAGTAGCCATAAAAGCTAAAACCACTGTGATGGTTTTGGCCAAAACTGAAGAAACTGCAACTGAGAAGATGATCCCAAAAGCAATTTGGCGAAGAAGACAGGTCAGCAATTGGGGCTGACCAATGAACAGCAAGGAACAGAGGAAGCAGAGGAAGAGGGAGACAAGGAGAAGATAAGTGAGATTCCGGTTGTTAGCTTTGACAATGGGAGTATTCCGATGTTTTATGAAAATTCCAAGTACCACCACTGTGGTCACAGAAAATGATAGACCCAGAACTGTCAAAGTGATGCCCAAAGTTTCATTATAAGACAAGAAATTTAGATCCTTGGGAATGCACATATTTTTTTCCTTGTTTGGATATTGTTCTTCTGGACAGTCTAAGCAGTCATCCATATCTGTGAAAATATGTATTTCAGAATTCATAGCAGTATTTCAGATTTGCATACTTTTGTTTACTGAGAAGTATTTATTAATCGAAAACATTCTATGTCATAAAACATCAGTGGACTACTATGGTTCTTGGAACTGAAATGTGCAATAATTCTCATCATTCATTGCCTTCTGTCCTTCAAGGTAGACATGCTTGCAGATATACTCTAGTTACAGAGCCTGGTGGCGCAGCAGACTAATAGCCTGTTATTAACATTCAGCTGCCTGCAATTACTGCAAGTTCGAATCTCCCCAGGCTCAAGGTTGACTCAGCCTTCCATCCTTTCTAAGGTAGCTAAATTGAGGACTCAGTTTGTGGGGGCAATAAGCTGACTTTGTATAAATATACAAAAGTATGAAGGCTATTGCTTAACGCATTGTAAGCCGCCCTGAGTCTCTGGAGAAGGGCGGCATATAAATCAAATTAAAAAAAAAAACATTAACACCTTTTCACATCTCTGTTAAATATATCTTTGTTCAATCTTGCTTTTGGAGGGCTCAACTAAAATGGAACTCTCATGAATAATCAGGATGACCCGAAGAGCCACGGTGGTGCAGTGGTTAGAATGCAGTGCTGCAGGCTACTTCTGCTGACTGCTGGCTACCTTCAATTTGGCAGTTCGAATCTCACCAGGGTCAAGGTTGATTCAGCCTTCCATCCTTCCAAGGTTGGTAAAATGAGGATCCAGATTGTTGGGGGGCAATAAGCTGATTCTGTAAAACACTTAGAGAGGGCTGTAAAGCACTGTGAAGTGGTATATAAGTCTAAATGTACTGCTATGTGTGTGATATCTCTGTGTGCCTTTATGGATATGCACAGTTGCACATACATAAATATAAAAATATTTCCTACCTCTTTCATTTGAAAATTTTCTTGATGGACAAGTATTACAACCATAGCAACAAAATGGCTTCCCTTCCTTCGTTTTCTTTCTGGAACCTGGTGGGCAATGATCATTGCACAGAGCAAGAGGTATAGTCTATTCATTAATGAGAGAGAGAATTACATTTTATTTCCTCGAATCCAACCATTTTCAGAAATCAGTATATATTTCTGAAAAATATTCATTAGTTTTGTGTGTGTATGTGTGTGTGTGTGTGTGTGTGTGTGTGTGTTCATGCAGATATGAACACAGATAAGAAAGAACCGATCCAAAATAGCATGTATTATTGATGAAACTTACCCTTACTCAGAATAGGCTTTCTTCATATAGTAGGTTGAAATAACCTACTATATATGATTAATCTCTTGTGGTTATTCTGAGTTGTTTGTATTTGATTTCAGGGCTAGCAACATGTATAGCATCATATAGTATCATAAGTCAATATATACATTATATTATTACTGAAAGCAGGGACCACGCCAGTTATGGGGATCTATGTGGAATCTAAATTCCTCCACAAGAATTAGTGTTTTCTAGTTGGATGCTCTTCCTGATGCCACATGGTGTTCGTAGCAGATATTTTTTTCTTTGTGCCCTGAAAGAGAGATAACTGCTGCTACTTAGGATTGAACTCTCAACCTTTCAAGTAGGAGGTGATAGTTTTCACCACAAGGCCATCACGCTGCTCTTGTAGGAAATCTAAAATAATCCCCCAAAACCAGTGGTGAAATCCAAAAATTTTCCCTATTGGTTCTGTGTGCGTGGCTTGGTGTGCGTGGCTTGGCGTGTGTGTGTGTGTCATGTGAGTTGGTGGGCATGGATAACTCTTTTTTTACTTTTTTAAAGCATTTTTTAAAAATTTTAATTTAATTTAATATAATTTGTATCTTTGTTGGACTCAGGGCGGCTCACAACTAATAAAACAAACCCAATAAAACATAAAATACATAAATATGCATACATAAAATACATAAATGTATAAATATATAATTTAAACATATATTAAAACCCATTAAAATAATCAAAAAACCCCTCAGTCCAGGTTGGGTGATGTGAACAGCCATGTTTTTAATTCGTGGCGGAAGGTGCGAAGGTCAGGAGCCAACCGACCTTTTACTAACTATTCATCTGAACCGGTGGTAAAAAAAAATGCTTTAAAAAAGTAAAAAAAAGTGTGACAATCAACTGTGCCACGCAATCATCAGAACCTTTTTAAAAAACTTTTTAAAGCCTTTTTTTACTATCGTTTCAGGGAAATGGTAGCATTTTTTACTACCGGTCCAGGCGAACCGGCCCGAACTGGTAGCATTTCACCTCTCCCCAAAAATAATTATATAAAGGGCGTGGAGAAAATAACTATCATCCTGTAGCCTGGGGCTAAAGTGACTTTGAAGTTTAGCATGGGTGAGGTGATAAGGATGGTCTAAATGCTAGACAGACAATACTCAATAATAAAAATGCACCTCCTCAATCAGAGATATTAAAAGATAACCAGTAGAAGCTTCTCGGGGTACCGGAGCATTTTCTTATTTGAAAGTTCACCATTTCCTTGTGGAAAAAGAGAATGGAAGCCATCAATTTCTTTCAGTCCTCCTTCCCCTTGCAAACTAGCTTTGTGAAAAATTTCATAAACAGGATCTAAAATGTCAAGTTTGTCCTCTTCCAGACACTTATCATAACAATACAGGCAATCATTAATTGCTGAATAGAAGGCCATCTATTTTGATTTTCAAACTGGAAACTTCATTTTGGTCCTACCTGGTTAAAATGGGCCTGCCATGTGATTTTTCTTTCATTGATGGAGAACCTTCTGCCTGATGGGGCTTGAGGATCCATTTGTCCCACTTTTACTTTCACGAAGGATTTGTTAGGGAAAGTAACCCAGTTGATGATGTCAAATCCATCTAGCAATTCACCCTTCTTGTCAAAAGACACCTTGTATCCGGCACTGTTGTTAAAGGAGACTTGACTTAGGAAATGGTAAAGCTGGAATAAATGAAATTTTGGCAAGTATTATTACCAAAGTGGTGGAAACAGTGAAAATTGTTTGGCTTGGAATAGAGTTTTGCTATACTCAGAAGCTCTTCAACTGTTTTATCGTTCCATTATTGGGAGTCCCATTATTTCCTTCCCCAATCAAATATTTCAGTTCAGCTCAGTTTTAAAAGCATAATAAGCACTAGCAAGCAATGTATTTCAAATAAACAGACTAAATTTTCTTTTGGCATAGAAATATCTTGATATACCTGTTTCTCTCCCCCCCCCCAATATACCTGTTTCCCACTGATTATAAGCCAAATCGGGCATTTGAATGTATGGCAATAAGGCCAAGCGCTTATTTCAGGGTTCAAAAAAATATAAGACAAAGTCTTATTTTCGGGGAAACATGGTATGTCACTGATGGGAATCCAAGTATTTCAAAGCTCAGGCTTATTACTTGCCTGGGGTAAGGTAGTATTACTACTAGTATTATCTCAACTTCCACTACTTCTGTGTTTCCCTGAAAATAAGGTGTAACATGAAAATAAGCCATACTCACAAAATAAGCCCTAATTAAGACCCCACCCATTCTGGGGGCTGAGGGGGGGCATGAGGCACACAGGTAAAAATTAAGATATGGTGGGGATCAGGTTCGAGGTGCCGTACTACTTATTTTGGACAGTTGCAGCCAGGCCTCGCACACCCTAACACCTTCCTTGCCTTGCCAGCTGCAGAAGAAGTGGGCCGGTAAGGCTGGCAAGCTTTTGCTGAAGGGCTCTGCAGCCAATAATACAGCTCTGGAGCCCTGTTATTAGCTGCAGTGGCCTTCAGGAAACCCTTGCTCACCTCAGAAGAAGTTCCTGAAGGCCTCTGATAGTGAAAAGGAGGCCAGGGGCGACGCATGCAAGTGAGGAGAGTCAGTGAAAGACATCCCCCAAAATAAGACCTGGTGCCTTTTTTTTGGTGGCAAAAACTATATAAGTCTGGGTCTTATTTTCTGGAAAACATGGCACTTCTACTGAATTAAATTGATATGTTGTCTACCTTCCAGTGACTCTGGGAAGTTTCCAAGTGTTTATTAAGCAGTAATGTATTTTTTTTTCTGCTACAACTTATTGTGCAATTTTTATTATTTACTTTAACTAGAATGTTCTGGAAAAGGATGGATTTGACGCCCTAGGTATAAATTCTGGATTTTGTGGCATCCTGCATCTGCAAGAACACACCTCCCATTCCTTTCAAAACTTACAACAATGATAATCTCGGAAAACCTTTAGTCCTTTTATTGCCATTATGAAATCTATTTACACATATTTATTTCCATTGTTTGCAGGTAGACTTACAACCATTCATTTAGTGATTATTAAAACTGAAAGAATAAGTTACAACTAGACCTTACACTTATAGCTGTTGCTGCATCCTTACAGTCATGTGATCAAATCTGAGCACTTGGCAACTGGTATGTAATTACAATAGTTGCAGTGTCCTGGGTTCTTGTGATCCATTTGTGACCTTCCCATCCAGCTTTTTATATAAATGAAGGCACTAATATTAACAATAACATTGATGCATCAAAAAAATCTGCCTTTTAGATGCAACATTACCTGAAAATACTGTGATTTAGAAGTCCTTGGGTGATCTCTATTCAACACTGCTCCATATTTCCTTCTGGATGAATAAAAGGCATGCAAAGCATGTGTCACAGCATAGACAGCATTATAAACACTGTAGCTTTGACTGGTCATGCTCATTTCAAAAAAAGCCGTGGAAGGCTTTCCAGTCTCTCATTGCCAGTACAGCTTCCTTTGTCTGTTGCAGAAGCTGGAAACGAGCATTTAAATGCTTGTTCCCAGAAGACTCTGATAAAATGATCTGACAGAGAATGGGGGTCCTGAAATAGAAGGAAATTCTGAAATGTTGACATCTCCGAGGTGTGACTTGCAAAGGACAAGGCACCGTGGAAGATCTGCATATTTAAATTGTTTAAAAAGGGCTCCACTGAAAAATCCCAATGGGCTGTCATCACCCATACTTTCTGCACAGGCAGCCTCATGTCTGATTCAGCAAGATTGAGCACTAGTTGCAAATCTAACATCAAGTGAGCATCAGCACTTACAACACAGACATTGACGTTTGTTTTACTCAGCAACAGGGCCATTTCCCTAAACATGTCAGTGAAATTATCAACCATGTTTAAAATATTGCTTTGGACTGGCATTCGTTCAGAGAAGGCAGTGCAGATTCCATTATCATTAAAGCTTTTCTCCAAGGTCTGCACAAACTTTTCTCCTTTATCGTCATCCATGGCTATGATCCCAATCCATTTCCATTGAAAATGCAGGAACATTTTGACTATTCCTGTATACTGATGCGCTTCATTAGGTACCATGCGGTATAAGAAAGACGGGTGGCTTATATCATTCACTGGTGGACTATATAAACAATAGGAGACCTAAAGGTCAACATAATTACATTCATAATAGGGAAATATAAAAATATCCACAGGATCGAGCACAAAAACACAGTAGTTTTACTTTCTTTTCTAAAAAAAAAAAATAGTTAGTTTACAACACCCACAGCAGTGGTGAAATGTAAAATTTGTTACTACCGGTTCTGTGGGCGTGGCTTGGTGGGGGGGTAATGTGACTGGGTGGGCGTGGCCAACTTTTTTTTTTTACTTTAAAAAGCATTTTTTCTACAACATTTTCGGCCGAAGAGATTGCAGAAAAAAATGCTTTTAAAAGCCTCTGATGATCAGGCAACTCAGCTTGGATCGCCAGAGGCTTTTAAAAGCATTTTTTTCTATAGCCTCTTTGGCCGAAGAGGTTACAGAAAAAAATGCTTTTAAAAGCCTCTGGCGATCAGGCAACTCAGCTGAGATCGTCAGAGACTTTTAAAAGCATTTGTTTACAACCTCTTCAGCTGAAGAGGCTGTAGAAAAAAATGCTTTTAAAAGCCTTGATGATCCCAACTTAGCCGCACAATCATCAGAGGCTTTTTTTTAACTTTTCAAAACATTTTTTCCGCAAAAATGCTTTTAAAAGTAAAAGAAAAAGCCTCTGATGATCGCTCAGCTCAGCTGTGCATTGGGGTGGGGTGGCACATGGATTTTTGCTACTGGTTCTCCAAGCCACCCGACACCATTGCTACTGGATCGAGCGATCTGGTCCGAACTGGGAACATTTCACCCGACCCACAGGCTGCTCCAATCACAAACTGATTTTATGTAGCATTTAGTTTTCTCATCCTTAACATGAGCTAAACCGAACGAAACCCCAATAATAAATAAATAAATAAATAAATAAATAAATAAATAAATAATAAAACACACTATTTGTTTCGCATAACAGATTCCATATCATCCTGACTTCTTTTATCTGCATTTATGCATATTATTTCTTTTGTCATCCATTTTCCCATCTCCAGTTAAACAATGCATGAAGTACAAATGTTCCTCAACTTGCTCTAATATTTCATTATTTATTTTTGATTCATTATTATTCCTTTTATTTCCCTGGTTACAATCTAAGAGCAGTCAGTACCAACTAAATGGTACCACCTAATCAGAGGTGGGATTCAGGTGGTTCGCACCAGTTCAGCTGAACCAGTAGCTAACTTTTTCTACAAGTCGGAGAACTGCCTGAATCCCACCACTGATTGCCATCCCCAGCCGCTCACCCTCCCCTCCCAGCTACTCCTTGCTTGGCCTCCCAGCCGCCTGTCCTGAGAAGGTAAGGCTGATGGCGGAGGAAGGAGAACCACTCTGGGCCCACCATGCTTGGCCAAAGGGGCACCTCGGGGGGAAATGATGAGGCTTGGCCACCTTTTCGGTTCGGCTCTCGGCGTCCACAGAGCTTCCAGACTGAAGGCCTGAGAGAAAGTGCCTAGTCCAAGAACACAGTCCTCTGTGACAAAGCCCTTCCCTGGGAGCAAAGTCTTGGATGACCATCCCAAAGGCCTTGAGGGGCTACAGAGTTTCCATGAGCCTCTGCCAGCCTGAGCACCCTGCCCTTCAGATCCCAATAGGGCCAGTGCCTGGTGGTGGCACTCCAGGTGGGCAGGAGGTTGTCCCAGGGCTGCACGTGTACACCTCGCCACACCTCAGTGGAACAGCTGCCTTGGCCCCAGCACGGTGCTCTCTCCTGAGACTGCCCATTTACCCACTTGCCCACCACCTGGAAATGGTGTGTCTCCCTGTCACGGGCTGCATGGGGAGCTGGAGGCAAAAAGGAGGGTGAGTGGGTGGCAGCCCCCTGGAGGGCCTGTGGAAGCCAAGAACTGGGCCCGAAAGGTAGTCAAACCTCGCCATGTTACCCCAAGGAGAGCCTTCAACCAAGTCTGTCTTCCTTTCCTGCCTTACCTTCTCAGGTATGCTATTTTCCACATTTCACTTTGGAGCCCCCCAGGTGAGGGCAGTCCGCCGCATCCAGGCTCAGTGGCATACCCTGAGCTGCTGCCTTCACCACCTCATGAGACAGACAGACAGCCTATCCTGCCGGGCACTCCTGGCCAGTCCCCCAAGGAATGTGCATGAAGAGATGATTGCCCCCAGCTCCTTGTTGCCCAGATAGGTTAGCGGGCAAGGCTGGTTGGGTGGATGGGGTCCTTCATCCCCTCCCTCTTTTGGACAATTTCCCCTCACCCTCTGGAACTGGGCCTGGCAGTGGCATGGAACATGGGATCACTAGTAGAGAGAGGAGAGTGTGAGGTTGTTGCTTCTGGGACAAGGGAAGCTGGGAAGCATCTGGGGCCAGCTCACCTGGCCTCTCTTCCTCTTGCAGCTGCATTTCCTCCATCTGTCATGGATGTCAAGTACAGATTCAACATGTGTCATAAGTGCTTCTGCCAGTACACCAAGGCTTCATTAAGGTGAGGGGAAGAAAGCTGTGTAGGCCCCAGCCATGCACTTTTGGTTGCCCACTACTGCCACCAGCTGATATCCTTTCATTGCCCAGAGTTCCCTGGCAATGCCCTTGACATCTCCTGACTCTAATGGTCATGTGCAGACTAGGGAAGTAAATCTGAAAGCATGTGTAATGTTCTAATGTACAGAACTTATAGTTTAATGTGTGGCAGAAAGTGGACTTTGGGTATGTTTTTCCAAATTCAATAAGTGAGGTTGACTGTGTATAGTTTTAGACAAGCTCTCTGTGTGTTTGTGTGTGTATGTGTGTGTTCTAAGTAAACTTAGAAGAGTGCTCAAATCTTCTGCTCAAAATAAAACTCCCTATACAACCAGGCTTGAAATTTGAGGTCTGGATAGCCTCAAACTATGCCGTCTACATTCCAACCTATACTTAGTTCATAAGATTATTTACCAAAACATCCTACCTGTAAATGAGTACTTTAATTTCAACCATAATAACACAAGGGCTATCAATACATTCAAACTCAATGTAATTTGCTCTAATCTTGATTGTAGGAAATATGACTTCTGCAATAGAGTAGTTAATGTCTGGAACACTCTACCTGATCCTGTTGTTAGTCTCACTAATCCCCATACCTTTTACCTAAAACTGTCTACCATGGACCTTTCATGTTTCTCAAGCATTTCCCAAGGGGGTGTGTATAAGCACCCCAGTGTGCCTACCATCCCTGTCCTACTGTCCCCATTTATATGTAATAATTCTATGTGTTTATGGCTATGTTTTGCCTATTTATATTCTTTTAGTTGTGCCAATTTTTTTCATGTGTCCATGTCTATGCCTATACTGTTACTTGTTTCCTTGCACTTGTTGACAAACAAACAAATAAATAAATACACATACAGTATATATAGTGCATAATGTATCTTTTTGTCTGTACACTCTCTATATTATGTAATATGTATGTACACATATGTTTTAGTTTAGTTTTTAGTTTTTATTGAATTTGTATACTGCCCTACTCTTGAAGGACTCAGGGCGATGAACAGCCATAGAATAAAACATATAAATACAAAATTTAAAACAAAGTAAAACGAATTAAATAATTTTGCTGAAAATTTAAAACCCCAATAATTTAAAACCAAATTTAAAATTTCCATTTAAAAAGGGGAAAAACTTAGGTCAGGCCAGCTTGATGAAATAAGAACGTCTTGAGCGTGCGATGGAAGGTACACAGATCCGGGATCCTCCGTATCTCCGGGGGGAGCTTGTTCCAGATAGTAGGTGCCCCCACAAAGAAGGCTCTCCCCCTGGGGGCCGCCAGTTGACATTGTTTGGCCGATGGCACCCGGAGGAGCCCCTCTCTATGGGAGCGTACTGGTCGGTGGGAGGCTATTGGTGGTAGTAGGCGGTCCCGTAAGTAACCAGGTCCTAAGCCATGGAGCGCTCTAAAGGTGGTAACCAGAATCTTGAAGCACACCCAGAAGACCACTGGGAGCCAGTGCAGCTCGCGCAGGAGAAGTGTCACATGGGAGCACCACGTCGCTCCCATTACCACCTGCGTGGCTGCACTCTGCGCCAGTTGGAGCCTCCGAGTGCTCCTCAAGGGGAGCCCCATGTAGAGAGCGTTACAATAGTTCAGATGGGAGGTGATGAGGGCATGAGTGACCGTGCGTAGGGAGTCCCGATCTAGAAAGGGACGCAACTGGCGGATCAGGCGAACCTGATGAAAAATCCTCACGGGCACGGCCGTCAAGTGCTCTTCTAAAGACAGCCATGAATCCAGGAGGACACCCAAGTTGCGAGCCAATGATTTGCCCCAATAGTCAGCGATGGCACCAGCTGACTATATCGGGACCTCGGAAACCACAGCCACTCAGTCTT